ATTACTTTACAAAGTGTGATGTTGTCTTTATTATTTATCATAAAGAATTATCATCTAGCCGTTTTATAGAACTAAAATAAAATAATCGACAAAATATTAAAAAGAACTTCATAAATTCAATTAAAAAAACGATAAACTCATCAATCTAATCAGTAATTAAATTCTTTATCGTAGTGTGGCGTTGAAACCGTTTGAGCGAGAATTTTTCCATTTTGGCATGCTTTGAATAAAAATGCATTGCCTTTTAATTTGCTCTAGAATTAGAAGGAACTCTTCATATATTTTAAAAAAAAATTAAGAATAAGTAAAAAATAAAATATTTTTTATTTAAAAATTAAAATTTTCTTTCCTTAATAAAGTTCTAAAAAAATATTCACAGCAAATTCTTTCTCTCGTTTTATTTAATTTCTTAATCCTGTTTTTAGTTTAGAATTTAAATATTTATTTATTATCTAGCTTATAAAGTTCTTAAAACTGTTCAGTTAGACATTAATAGTTTAGTAATTTTAATGACTAAAATTTTAATTTAATTTCTGTACGACTTAAAAAGATATACGTCATAATCAGCGGTCGCTTTTAAAAGAAACCAAAATAAATTATTGCCTTTCAGGAGCAACCGCAAAACAGTTTGTTTGATAATAAAAGAACCAATTTCATTCAAGTAAAAATGAATTCCTTTAATATATTTAATTAATTACGTCAGAGTAACGATATCCAAAAAAGCCGCCTTACTTTAGCCGCTCTGTTCAAAAAGTGTAAACTAAATTAATTAACAACATTATAAACGAGGCTTCGTTTTCTCAGCTGCATAATTACCCAAAATTATGCCAAGTTTCTCAAAACATTTATTTAAATTAATTTGGCGTCTTTACGTAAACAATTATTAATATCTCCCCTTGACAGGCAACACTTTATAAAATAAACAAAGATATTTTCTTATTTGCGTGCCTTAAAATATTTCTGATAGTTTAACACAAGTTATTAATTACAGTAAGCATTATTCAAAACATAAACCAACAAGAAATTGCGGTATGTTATGTTTTCATAAGGAATATGGTATAAATATTCATAAATGTAGTATGTAATATAATAGAAAAATGAAAATAAACAAAGAAAAGTCAATAACAATTCCTTAAGGGCTGATCATAGAAACGTAAAATTATATTACAATTGAAAAAGTTTTTTAAAATGCTCCAGAAATGTTTTTTCTACTCAATAAAACGAAAAGTATTTGATGTATTTTAATCACAAGTAAATTCCTATAATTTACATTATATGAATATCTATCTAGTATAAACATATATATCTAGTATATACAGTGGTGTATAATTAATTAATGAAACACTTAATTAATAAACACTGTAAAAATATTATACAGTGGTGTATTAATTAGATATCGAACCTATCTCATGAAGAGTTAAGATTAAATAAAAATAAATAAATGAATTGCAATCAATCTAATTTTTTTGATAAATATCAAAGTAGTTTTGATTTATGTTTGGAGAAGGTTTATCTCCTTCTGACATACAGTCCGAATTCTATTTAACGAACTTCCATTTTGCGATTTTTTTCGATTAACCAAGAAAATTTTGGAAATTTCTTCGTAAAATAACTTCTAAATAGTGAAGCGAATTATTTATTTAACGAAATTTTCTTAGCGATCCACTTTTCCTATTTCCCAAAATATTTCAGAACATTTAAAAATTGTTAACGCATTTTATGGGGGAAATGACCTTGAATTGATTTCCAAAGTCACTTAACTTTTAGAGAAAGCAGTAAAATCCCTTTCCCTTTTTGTTTGCATTTCAAGCGAAAAACTCGGACAAAATTAACGGGTTTTATTTGTAGCAATTAAACTTATGAACGCATTTGGTAATGTATGTTTAAAATTACTTTTATAATAAATGCATGTAACGAAATTTCCATATAACGAACTTATTATTGTGATTTAGCTACTAGTAGCTTTAGCTATTATTGTAATAGGTCCAACTCTAGATCCAATCTAGAGGTCCAACTCTAGATCTAATTTATTTTTTCTCTGCATTATTAAATTACAAAAAAACAATAATGAATCCTTTTTTAACTACATCCTATTTACCGTACAATATAATAGCTCATTAATCAAGTAATGTATAATTTCGGAGGGGGTTTTGTCCCCCGAACCATCCCCGAAACTACGCCACTATTACTGCTACATACTTTACATTTATTTCGGGATACACGAGGAAATACTCACCCGTTTTTAGGAAACAATTTTCATCAAACGAAAATTTGAAGTAATGAAAAGATTCTTTATTGTCTTAATTTGAATCCCATGATTCTGGATTCTAAGTTACCAACTTGTTTTAGAAACAATTTCTCATAACTCCTAACAGAATCAATATTAAATTGCTGTAATTCTTGCAACAGTCTGTGATGTATTTCTTACAGCACCGGTGTTGTAACGAAAAATAAAATAATTTTTTGTTGTGAAATCAGTTGTTTTTGTCACATGTGACAAACAACCAATCAAAACGATTCTTGTCGGCTGAAATCGTCTGCCGCGCTTTTCGTTTTTTTTCAAAGAGAAGTCTTAGGTCTCTGGATTTGTTTTAAAATATTCGACGTGGTTAGTTTGTGTGTGTATTTTACGTAATATTCCGTAACTTTTAGATTATGGTAGCAGTGCTGGTTGAAAATCAATTAAATTTTGGGGAAGCTGACGGAATTCCCTTGTTTTGAAGCACAAATTTAATTTATGAAGCCCGAAAACTTAAAAAAGAACGAACAACCATTAATTTAAATCGAACAATGTAACAAACAAACAAACAAACAAACAAACAACTATAACAAATAAGAAGAACGCACTAAAGACCAGGTTTATCAATTGTACAAGAAAATAGTGCTGATTGTTAAGTGAGTTTTTATCTGTTAATATTAATTGTGTGGAATAATGTGCTTGTATATATACAACAAGTAAATTAAATCTCTATGATTAAATTTCTTTGGAAAAAAAATACCAAATATGATTAAATTAAAAACTTAAGCAGTATATTTAATTACAATGTAATTTGTACGCATGTGCAATATTATTTGAAAATACTTTGTATTTCTATTATATAGGCTTTTTTTTAAAATTTTATGAAATAATCACTTGTGCTTCCATAAATATAGGTTTCGCGATATTTAGTATTTCACGATACTTTTAGTCGCTTGAACTTTTTGACACAGGTTTGTAAAAGAATTTTCACTGAGGTTGAAAAACATTTTCAAGATTCAAAAAGTGATAACTATGAGAAAATACTTACGATTAACTTTATATAAGTTTATGAAATTGAATAAAAATGACATCATTTAGATTTACTTGAACGTTTTGATCGTATAAAAATTGTTATTAATTTTACATTTAGTTTTCGTATCGCTAGTTAATATGCTGGGCTAATAAGCAATGACATTATACTAATTGTTTTTTTTTTATGGTATTATTATCAATTAAATTGAAACTCAAAAGAAGTTACCTTATATAAAAATACTTTAACTTTATATTCTTTCCTAAAGGGAAATTTTTATAATTGTAGTACATTATTGTCTATAATTGTCTATATTATAGTATATAATTGTCAAGTAGTATATTATAAACAATTTTATGAAATCAAATTTTCAGATTATAGTAATAGTATTATCGATTGTAGTTTTCAAAACAGCGAATTTGATGGTTGTCGCGGTGTCGGTAACTTTTGCTGTAAAATAAAAATGTTTTTTAAAAATGTCTTTACAGTTATTGAAAAAAATATGCATAATGACATAATTGTGTAGAATTGATTTTTTTTATGAAAATGTTTTCGCTTCCTGCAGCTTTTAATCAAATATTGCTTCTAAGAATTGTTCTTTTTTAATATTTGAAATGCATTACTCACTTAAGAAATATATTTAATCCAATTTTGTCAATTTGTGACTTTTGATTATTGGTTGCCAGTCTATGCATTGTATATAATGCAAAAGGAACTTAAGGTAAAATATCATAGAATAGTTTGGGAAAGAATTGTTTTAAATCACGGAGAATGAAATAACGCATTGGATTTTCTTCACTTTTTTTTTTCTTTTTAAAATATATTATTGTGTTGATGCTCAAATAAATATAATATTTTAATTATTCAATTAATAATTTTTTTTTTATGAAACTCTAATTTAACATGCTTATTTGGTTGCTTTCAATAATATTAATAATATCAGATTTGGAAAAAAAAACATTTGTATAAGAATGGGCAATGATGCTAAAAAAATCAGCGCTAGGGATATTGATTTATGATTATGGCCCTTAAAACTAAAAGCAGTCAGTGTAGGAAATACCGGGTAATAACCCTTTATCTGAAAAGAAACATCATCGTAAGGAATACAAGACAATCACATTCCTGTCTTATTATTAATGCATGTTGATCAGTAAAAAGTATAATTAAATCATAGTACTACTACAATAAGTACATGCAATATTATAATCAAACTAATTCAGAGTATGAAATGTTCATACTTCATAACTTGTCCGTTTGTCGTTTGGAATTGCCAACCATGTCTGGGCAACATGTGAAACGTTTAATCAATTAACATATTGTCGGTGAATTTACGGTATTGTATATATAATGCAGGGCTAGATTTTAAACTTTACAGAGAAGTGTATACAGGCAAAGTGCATAGGAATGCAAGTATATTTATAAAGTTGATATTAAATTTCTAGATGCATGAGAAACAGAAAACACAAATAATAATTGACATGCAAAATGAAACTCGTTATGCTTATTTTAACATGACGACATTTAGCGCCTGTATATTTCAAAAATGACAAAATTGCATTAAATAAAAATAAAAAATACATGCACTCGCATTTTAGTCTCAATAAAAAAAAATTGTGCATTAGGAATGAATACATATTTCATTTCAAAGATTGCAGAACATTTTTAAACAAAACGTAAAAGCAAATTAAAATGTATGCAAATGCTTAGAACAATTAACAGAAGCACGCTTACGTCATTAAACAATCCATTGCATTCAGCTGTTCTAAAGTGCTCTAGACATGACACGCTTTATAAGTCGAACAAACATTCGATTGTCAGTGTGAAGTTTTAAGTGGCAGAAACAAAAGCTCGGAGGAACGTACACAAAGTTCTCACATGCATCCACTATGCAAGTCAAACCTAGATCAATACAGCGATTTTCGGTCAAGATAGACTTTACATTTCCTCAACCGTTCAATTTTCCCTACTTCCTAAATCGAATTTTCCCCTTCAATGAGCGGTATTTCCCTAAGGAAAGGGAAAATAACTAAAGTTAAGCAAAAGTCCCTTTAAAATAGTTTATAAATTCCCTGCTAGGCATTCAGTCTTCGAGAGTATCAGTATACTTTTCAAACATTTAAAAAAAAAGAAAAAAAAGTTTAAGTTCAGTTTTAGTATTATAACTCAGAAAAAAAAATCAAGTAAAGTATTTTAGGGATAAAAATACCAAGAAACAAGTATATGTAGTTTAAGGCTTAGATTTTCTTCGTGCTCATAAAATTAAATTACTTTTCAGGGGTATAGAAGATCTTTCTTTTTTCGAATCATTTTTATTTGAAGAGTTGAATAATTTTCCACGAAAATTAAAAAAAAAGTATTAAGGAAGAAACAAAATAAAAATTAAAATGAATTTCTTAAATTTTAAAGAATATATAAATGAACATGAAATATTTTTAGATTTTACTTTTCATAAAAAAAAACTAAAACTACTTTAGTAATTTAAAAAAATTAGTTTGTAATATATTATCATTTAATTATTGAGCTTCGATGGCACTGTGGTTAAGGCATTAAACTGCGATTTGAAAGTACTGAGGCTCTATCACCGGTGATCCCCACCTATCAGATTTTCTGGGAAGTAAAGGCGGTTGGTGTGCAATGGTGACTACATTGTCACCATCATGTTGTCGGTCATGAAGTTACGGATCTTTAACATACAATAGCATCCTGAATGTTTAACTTTTTTTAAAATCTTTTTAATAAATCCATATATAAACAGTTAACTTTAAAAATTACAAGTCTAAGAAAAGAAACCGTGGTGGCTCTGGTGATAGAGTGATTACTTCTCAAAAAGGTGATCAAGATTCGAATGTCAACGATAGCTGGTCTGCTTCCAGCTCGTTCCGACCACAGTGCTGACGTAAAATATCTTCAGTAGCAGATGGATTAGGCTAGAATCCTCTCATTATTGGACTAATCGTGGGAGATTTTTGTGGGTTTTCACTCAATATAACGCAAATGCGGATTAGCTTTATCAGAAAGATCCTTAGGAAGGCTAGTTTGTCCGAATTTTTGACATTCGAGTATCCTTGTCTTCTGGGTCGGGTTTAAAATTACAAGTCTGCCGAGTTGAACATTGATAGTCGTAAACTCAAAAATGGGTTGGCTGTGCAACGCCGGTTATAAAATAAAATATAAAAAAAGCTATAAAAATGAAGGCAACTTCATTTTTTGTTTATAATTTACAAGTTTTATGATGAGTATAAAATATTTGTGAGCTAGATGTTTTGTCGATAAGTGTTTTTTTTAGTTTATAACAATCAAATTTTCTTGTGCTGTTTTTTTAATTACTAGAAAGTGCTGAAAAATTTTATGCTTTTATAATTCTGTAAGGAGTCGCGATGGATTAGGTGTTTAAGGAGTAGTCACTGTGAAGAACGGGATTCGAACCTCAATGGCGAACCCAGCTTCAGATCGATTTGCACCAGCTTGCCTGAGAAATAAAGTCGGCATGTACGCAATGCTTACCACATTGCCACACTCATGCTGTTGGTGAAGAAATTGTCGAATCCTAACCTTCATGATCCTCTGTCCCACAACGGGATTTTGCAGGAATGCTTTATTTTTATGTTGCAGTAATTACTAAAAGATATCATTCGATTTTTTTGACATGCCGTATTTTGCTATTTGTAAGATAGAATATCAGGAATATTTTGTAAGCATAAATATCACTTAAAGATAATCAAGAAATATGATATAAAACACCAATTTTAAACATCTCTTTAGAATTCTCAATATTTAGAATACTATTTATTTTTATAATAAATTGAAATACGTAACGAATAAAATTATTTTCATTGAAATTAAATCTTCATTCAATTATTTTTAATTTTTGTTTCATAACCGTCGCTGAACAGCCAATCCAATTTTGAGTTTGCGTCTTCCAATGTTCAACACCGCAGCCTTGTAATGTTGAACCCAATCCAGAAGACAAGGGAACTCCAGGATCAAGTATTGGGGAAAAAATTGCCTCTGTCGAGAACTTTTCGATGGAACAACCCGCACATTGGGAAGAAAACCACGGAAGCCTTTCACTGTTAGCCTAACGGCAAGGGGACTCCAACCCATGATCTATCACCGAGGATATTTTACATCAGCACTGTAGTCGTTGAGCACTGGCTGTGGAATTCATATCGACCGCTGGGATTCGAACACTTGCACCTGATTGGAAGGCGAACGCTCTATCCCGTGAGCTGGACTGCTCAATTACTTCTAATTGTAATAAAGCATGGTAAAACTATAGGAGTATGATGAAACATGCTTCTGAGTTTTTTGATTAATTGAATTGAATTGAAAGAAGGAAGAAATTAAGAATGGTTAATTGAAAAAGCGCATATAGCCATATTTCAGCAAGATTCAAGGTCATCTCGCCGTGACTAACGTTACCGTTACAGATTTTTTGACATATTCAGTACTAAAACGTAAATAAAGAAAATAATTTTCCTCTGTTGAGTACTTATGATACAAACCACGATTATGCATTAAATGCAAAGCTGTTATTTTTTTAACAGTTATTAATAACACATGCAACGTTTGAGTACTGAAAAATTAGTATGGCAGGCTTGTTTGTTCAGTTAAAATTATTATTGCGCTGACAAACTTCCAACTTTTTCTTTGGCATTAAAAATATTTTTTTTTTTTTTGTTTTCGTTTAACATTTTTCTTTGTTTCGCCTCATTGTTCTTTATTTTATGTGATGAAAAATATTTTTAATCGTTTTTCATATTTAACCTCCTTTGAAAATCTTTGAGACAAATAAGCCAAAACTCACCTCTGAAGAATATAGAAAAAAAGTTTAATAGACTAAAGATCTTGTAGAATCTTCGACACTGGGTTTAGGCTGAAGGGAATTTTATAGATTTTTATAACCATACGATTTCAAAGAAATCTTTAACGATCGCAAGCAAATAATTGATAAAAAAAATATTTTATTGCTTCGAGCATTCGTAAGCATAATGTTTGCGAATATAAAATAAATAAATAAAATGTATACTAAGTAAAAAATATTTCTTTTTAGTTAATCAAGTCTGATTGACACATTTTAAAAACTACATAATTTTATAGTTATACTAAATGCACTTCATCATCCTGTTTATTGTTCTTGCCCTAGTATTTATTAGAAAGCATTTTCTTTTTTAAAATATTATTGCAAAAATATTATTTTCTTTGAATTTTACTTTAAGAGAAGTAAAAAAATATATTAATAAAAATTGCATAATAATAATTCTTCTAGGAGCGAGGGGATTAACTAACATAAAAAAATTTGTGTTGGGCCCCAGGAAACTGTCAAGTTACCTTGAGTGAGACCCCGGACATATCCAGGGACGAATAACCCTAAAGAGGGGGTTATATTAGAATAGCCATTTCGATCGTCTGCTCCTTGCAGGAATCCAGGATTCCGTCCACGGTGGTAAAATCAGATTTGCAGACGGTATCGATAGCTCCAAAATCGATTTTTCTGTTTTCTTTTGCAAACGTAACTTTGATTTATATGCAAATGAATCTTTACGCTTGTATTTCGTTGCAAAAGCTTTGGTTAATTAATATTTACTCGTAATAAGATGTAGAATTTATGTCACCTGGGATACATAAATGTCCCGAATGATGAATTTATTTGTTCCAAGAATTTTTATCTTTTCTTTTAAAGAAAATAGTTGGGTTTTTGATTAATTTGTAAGAAAGAAGCAGAGTATATTAAGCAATTGGAATAAAAAAAACTTTTTCAAATTCTATTTTCGTTTAATAGAAAAAGCCAATATTAGTTCTATTGTCTCGAATTTATATTTAAATGACAAATATATAAGTGACAGCATATAAAGGAAACCATACATATTTGAATAACTTTAAAATAATAATAATTGTAATAAAGAAAAGGTCGCTATTATTAATTTTATGCACTTTTCTTCATTCACGTGCTAATTATTTTGAAAATTTATTCTATTGTTTTGTCAGCTATCAATGAAAAATGCGATTGGAAATCGGGAAATTATGCATTTACTTATATTAACATTTTTTCAATACAAATAAATTTTAATCATTTTCTACAAATCGCATTTTTAAACTTTATTTTGTCTTTAGCATTTCCACACCGAGGTCTGACTAAGAATTTATTTGGTTAATATAAAATTTTAAAAATCGAAAATTAACAAATTTGATTTTTTAGAGTTATTAAAGGATAGAAGATAGATTATGGAATCCTTTCCGATTTTTTTTCAAAAAACAACAAATTCTTACGTTAAATATTCATAAACAAAAATATACTCCAGACATCTCATTAAATAATAAACAATGTGCTCTTAAAGTCAATAAAAATTTAAAAGTTCTTTTGTGTAATGTTTACATGGATTCTTTAAGGGGCTTTCCTATACATTTATTTATATTATACATGCATGATACTGAAATATAAACCAGTTTGGATTACGTTTTTTTCTTCTTTTTTATCTATCTTAGCTTTACTCGAGAATAATACGTTTTACACATAATTTTCATACATTTATTCTCTTATGTAAAAAATGCAAAATAAATAGTTTACATCTTCCAAAAAAATCCACACTTCTCAAACAGTCACACTGTTAATGCCGTATTTCTTAAAAAAAGTTTTTTAGGTATTTTATTTGGCATTATATCTTTAAAATTAGCACTTCTTTTTCTCTTATGAATTAAAAAAAGAAGTCTAATTAGCTCTGAACAATCTACGAGAGTAATCCAAAAAGAAATTTCGCAAGTTTTATTTTTAATACTTAAATCGGTTTCTTTTTGTAATAATTTAAAAGGTAAGAATTGTTTTCATTTTTCTACATGGTATAACTGTTGTGGTTGACGCTTATTCGTAGACGCATTGTAAGTTTTTTTTTATGCCCCTGTCTCACCAACTCCCCGACATGACCAGCCAGAAAATAAAAA